GGGCTCCAAAATCAAAGACGGCCCAAGCAAGACCGACAAACAGACCCCCAAGAGGACCCCCAGACGGCCCAAGAGGGCCCCAAGACGGCCCAAGAGGGCCCCAAGACGGCCCAAGAGAGGGGCCCTAGAGAGGCCACAGAAGGAATACGAACCCACATTGAGAGCGCTCCACCCCGAGACGACCCACAAATCCGCCAACAGGCCCCCAAGGACCTCCAACAAGCTCCAGGAGGCCCCCAAAAGGCACAAATCAAACCTCCAGGGACCCACGAGAGGCCGCTACGATGCACAAAAACCGCCTCCAATAGGCTCCGAGGAGGCCCCCCAAGAGATCCTCACAGGCATCCAAGAGGCCTCTGACCTACAAACTAGGCACGTTGGCGGTATGGGCCGAAAACCACTAGACAGAAAGACAGAAAGAGAGAGAGAGAGAGAGAGAGAGAGAGAGAGAGAAAAAAAAAAATTAGCCTGGCGAAGGACCCAACCATATGCAACTGTGAATACCGCAAGTGTGAATATCGTTTTCGGCGGCGCTACCTCTGGGTAGTAGAGACGCATGCGAACACCCCCACTGGGGCCTTCGGTGGAGCTCCCTCTGGGGCTACGAAACGCTGCCCTGGGTGGGGGAACCGCATGCAGGCAGCCCCACTGGGGCCTTCGGTGGAGCTCCCTGTGAGGCTACGAAACGCTGCCCTGGGTGGGGGAACCGCATGCGGGCACCCCCACTGGGGCCTACGGTGGAGCTCCCTCTGGGGCTACGAAACGCTGCCCTGGGTGGGGGAACCGCATGAGGGCAGCCCCACTGGGGCCTACGGTGGAGCTCCCTATGGGGCTACGAAACGCTGCCCTGGGTGGGGGAACCGCATGTGGACACCCCCACTGGGGCCTTCGGTGGAGCTCCCTCTGGGGCTACGAAACGCGCTGCGTGGGGGAACCGCATGTGGACACCCCCACTGGGGCCTTCGGTGGAGCTCCCTATGGGGCTACGAAACGCTGCCCTGGGTGGGGGAACCGCATGTGGACACCCCCACTGGGGCCTTCGGTGGAGCTCCCTATGGGGCTACGAAACGCTGCCCTGGGTGGGGGAACCGCATGTGGACACCCCCACTGGGGCCTTCGGTGGAGCTCCCTATGGGGCTACGAAACGCTGCCCTGGGTGGGGGAACCGCATGTGGACACCCCCACTGGGGCCTTCGGTGGAGCTCCCTATGGGGCTACGAAACGCTGCCCTGGGTGGGGGAACCGCATGTGGACACCCCCACTGGGGCCTTCGGTGGAGCTCCCTATGGGGCCACGAAACGCTGCCCTGGGTGGGGGAACCGCATGCGAACACCCCCACTGGGGCCTTCGGTGGAGCTCCCTATGGGGCTACGAAACGCTGCCCTGGGTGGGGGAACCGCATGCGAACACCCCCACTGGGGCCTTCGGTGGAGCTCCCTATGGGGCCACGAAACGCTGCCCTGGGTGGGGGAACCGCATGCGAACACCCCCACTGGGGCCTTCGGTGGAGCTCCCTATGGGGCTACGAAACGCTGCCCTGGGTGGGGGAACCGCATGTGGACACCCCCACTGGGGCCTTCGGTGGAGCTCCCTATGGGGCCACGAAACGCTGCCCTGGGTGGGGGAACCGCATGTGGACACCCCCTCTGGGGCCTTCGGTGGAGCTCCCTATGGGGCTACGAAACGCTGCCCTGGGTGGGGGAACCGCATGCGGACACCCCCACTGGGGCCTTCGGTGGAGCTCCCTCTGGGGCTACGAAACGCTGCCCTGGGTGGGGGAACCGCATGTGGACACCCCCACTGGGGCCTTCGGTGGAGCTCCCTATGGGGCTACGAAACGCTGCCCTGGGTGGGGGAACCGCATGTGGACACCCCCACTGGGGCCTTCGGTGGAGCTCCCTATGGGGCCACGAAACGCTGCCCTGGGTGGGGGAACCGCATGTGGACACCCCCACTGGGGCCTTCGGTGGAGCTGGGGCTACGAAGCGCTGCCCTGGGCCGCATGCGACGGGGCCTTCGGTGGAGCTCCCTATGGGGCTACGAAACGCTGCCCTGGGTGGGGGAACCGCATGTGGACACCCCCACTGGGGCCTTCGGTGGAGCTCCCTATGGGGCTACGAAACGCTGCCCTGGGTGGGGGAACCGCATGTGGACACCCCCACTGGGGCCTTCGGTGGAGCTCCCTATGGGGCTACGAAACGCGTGAGAGGTGTGCCGAGAGCAGAGGCAAGGAGGGGGAGGAGGGAGGAGGGGGAGGAGGAGGAGGAGAGGAGAGGAACGCGGGGCACCGTCTCTTCAAAACGAGGACCCAACACCACAGGATGGTTGGGAATGAAGACGACAAACAACGAATCCCCCCAGCACCTGTTACAAGTGCGATTTCGCGATTGGATGACTGTAGATACAGTGCTCCAGTCATTCATATCGCGTCACTCTTTCTGCAGGTGCTCCTCTTACAGCCATTCCTCTTACTTACCTTACTTGTCCTGTCTCGTCCCCAATCGGTTCTCACAAGGGATGTGCAGGAGGACCGACCCATACGAATTCACAGAGCTTGTGGTTGTAGAGAACATCTACCCAGGATTTTGATGCTGATGCATCGGAAAAAAAAAAACAACATTACTAGATTTTGATGTATCAACCTCCTGGCTTCGTTTAGATTTTGATGCATCCAATGAAACTCACGACGCAGCCTCCAGGGACCAGCATACCAGAAAACCCGATGAGATCGACCGATTTGGTGGCCTCGATGTTCACCCCTGAGAGCGTCTGGGACTTCTGACGTAATGCTCAAAGAGCCCTGACTTCATCTGAATGGATGGAACTTACGGAACGCTCAATCGGCAATGGACAGAATTTCTTTTAGTAAACATCCCTTTAGTGAAAAGGGCCTAAGATGGAAACCGACGGACCTGGACTCGCAAAAATGACGACCGCGACGCCCTCTCGCGTCAGGGTCGAGGTGTCAGGGTCGGAGGTCTATCAATCTCCGCCTCAAGTATCCCCCCGACGCAACCATCCAGGAGAAGGAGCAGGAAGAGCATCCGGAAGACGAGGGAGGAACACCGATGTTCCAGTGTCGTGGCTGCGAGACAGCCTGCTGCCCTGCAGAAGCATGGCGTCACCCGGCGCTGCACGGCCTGTCAAGGCTCTGCTGGGCGACGGGTGATGGTGGGCCTGTTTTCCGACACCAGCACCATAAGTAGGAGGGGGAGGGGGTCCTCCTCCTCCTTCTCCTCCTCCTCCCTCTCCTCCTCCTCCTCCTCCTCCTCCTCCTCCTCCTCCTCCTCCTCCTCCTCCTCCTCCTCCTCCTCCTCCTCTCCTCCCCTCCCTCTCCTCCCCTCCTCTCTCCTCCTCCTCCTCCTCCTCCTCCTCCTCCTCTCTCTCCTCCTCCTCCTCCCCTCTCTCCTCCTCCTCCTCCTCCTCCTCCTCCTTCCTCCTCCTCCTCCTCCTCCTCCTCCTCCTCCTCCGTCCTCCTCCTCCGTAGCCATTTTGGCTCAAGTCGGGTCTGGCTCAGGCCCGCCTGCTGGGCCTGCTGCCCGCCGCCTCCCCCTCCTCCCCCTCCGCGCCCCGCCTCCCCTCCCTGGCGGCATGGTGCGGCGGCGCCCGCGGCGGCGCTGATTCCGCTGACGCAGCGCGCCCGCGCCCTTCTTTGGGCCCGCTGGGCGCGATCGGCATGATGGTCGTCGTGCTGAGCTGCCGTACGCCGTGCTGCACGGCCCGCGGCGCCTGCTGGGCGGCAGCCAGGCCCCCTGCGTGGCGCGCGGCCCCCGCGCTGCATGCCGCTGGACGGCAGCCGCGGTTCCTGGATGCCCGCTCCTGCTGGGCGTGGCGGGCGGGGTGGCGGCGTGCGCCCTGTTGCAACAGAGGGGCATGGCGCGGTGCCGCACGAGCCCAAGCTGGGCCTCGCCGAGGCTCGGCCGTGGCGAAGCGCGCGCCGCACGCTGACTCTTCTGCCCGCGCCTGCGCTGGCTCGCTGGCGGCGGCTGGCTGGGGCTGCGATTCGGGACCGCTCGTGTACATATTGGCCGCGTGGCCGTGGAGCACTTGCTGGTGCTCGTGGAGGAGTCGCTGCTCCTCGTTTTCGGGGTCGTCGCGGACCCCCTCGTGGCCGGGGGCCCTAGGCAGCTGCACAGCGCAGGGCCCCCGTTCCGGAAAGCCGTCGACTGCATGCAGTTCACGGTCGGGGGGTCTGGCTCCTCAGGTGGAGACCAGGCCCCCCGCGGCGGGAGGCGGGGAACACGCGCCCTCCTGAGGCTCGGTCATCATCCTCCTCCTCCTCCTCCTCCTCCTCTCCTCCTCCCTCCTCCTCCTCCTCCTCCTCCTCCTCCTCTCCTCCTCCTCCTTCCTCCCTCTCTCTCTCTCCCTCTCTCTCCCTCTCTCCTCCCTCCTCCTCCTCCTCCTCCTCCTCCTCCCTCCTCCTCCTCCTCCTCCTCCTCCTCCTCCTCCTCCTCCTCCTCCTCCTCCTCCTCCTCCTCCTCCTCCTCCTCCTCCTCCTCCTCCTCCTCCTCCTCCTCCTCCTCCTCCTCCTCCTCGTCCTCGTCCTCCACCTCCCTCCCCCCTCCAACTTATGTTGATGGTGGTGGAAAACAGGCCAATCATGCTGGGCGACGGATGTGAGCGCTGCTGAGTCGGTCATGCCCCTGTCGGGGAACCCCGAACCCTCTACCCGCACCACGCCCTCTCTCGAGCAGGAGATCGACTGCATACGGTGGGGGCATTGGACAAGGAACCCTTAGATGAGGAATCCAGGGTCCGGAGGCCAGTGGAACTCCAATTGTGGCTTGGCCATGGATCTCACTGCCGCCCTCATCAGATAAGAAATCCTCCAGGGTCTGCAGCATCCTGGGCGCATTCCTTAATTAACGCCTCCACCGTAATTGATACACCCCAGATGTCCTTCCTCGTCGAATCCACGAAACATGCATGGGCATGTGAGTAGCTCTACGAATATCCGACGCATCTTCAGCAGATAATCTCGATTTGGGGGGCACGTCAGGTCTGTAGTCGCTCTCATACTCGACTCTAGGCCTCTCGCCTTCACGTGCACGTTGCCCCCGAGAGGCCGTCCTGGCTGTCCCGAGGGCTCGACGCACCTGCGGAACGAGCGTCTGGGACCTGCCAGGCCCTCTTGTGAGGCCTGCAGGGAGACGCTGGAGCCAGAGGCCAGCAGAGATGCGAGGACGCCCGCGGGTGGATTGCAAGATGGGCAAGAGCACGGAACGTCGGCACCACCCACCACCATCCCCAGGACCTTGCGGCGTCCCAATCTCCAGCCCGGCGGGTCGGCGCTTTACAAACCTCCCTTTAGTAGACCTCCCCTTCATGAAAACGGCCTGGGACCGAAACTGACGGACCTGGACCCGCAAAAATGACGGCCGCGACGCCCTCTCGCGAACCGAAAACGGCCAATTCCTTACTCGACGTGTCAGGGTAGGAGGTCTGTCCGCCCCCGAGCGGGGGCACCCCCGGGCAGACGCTGGCATGCACTGGGGGGTCCGCGGATCTGGCGCGTGGGCGCCGGAGATCCTCAGGGCGGGAGGCGCAGCCCGCGAGACACGTGGCAATTGCCGCCGGAGCTGGCGACGGCGCGCGCGGCTTTGGCACGGAAGCGGCCCCACCGCTATCCCACGCACACACACACACACACACACAGACACACACACACACACACACACAGACACACACACACAGACACACACACACACACACACACACACTTTTTTTGGTCGCGGCCGCGGGCGAAAGCGCACACGGCGAGTCGTACGTCCGGGGCGCGGGCCTACTAATTGACAACCGCAACCTAGAGCCGTCAACCTAAACTGCCCAGGCGGCCTAAGCGGCGCCTCACGTGAGCTGCAAGCTGTAACACACACACACACAGAAGTACACACAAATCCCAGGACTCCCCAGATGTTTCCAAATCTTTGGAACTTTCTTCCCCCCCCACTTCTCATTATGTTCGCGTACTTTCTGAGGAATCGACGATGCATTTTGTCTGTTTGTTTTTTCCCCCCTCCTGATTCATGCATGTCTGGGTTTCCTCGTTATCCTGGACCTCCTCGGCGGAGGTGGCCCGCTGGTGGTGGTGCCGCTTCCCCCCCCTTTCCGACCCGAAGCGCACGCCGCGCTGCCCCGCCGCGCCCCGCCGTGAGGGGCTCCGTTTGACAACGATGCTATCAGACGCTGAATCGGCGCCATCTCCTCAACTCCCAGACGCTAATCGACGCTAGTCGACACTACAAACGGACTTAAGAGCGTACACAGGGCTCCCATGACGTCCCACCGAATGCAGAGGGCCCGACTGGCGCCGCCGCTGCTGGACGAGAATCACCAGCGGGCCTGCGCTGCACGGCGCAAAAGGGCCGAGCGCCGATATACGTACCTCTGCGCCGATGCCTCCGAGACGGCTGCGGCGGCCGAATTGCACGGGAGGCGACGTCTATCGCCTGAGGACAGCTTTGGCTCTGATACAAAAACTAATGCTAAGCAATGAGAATGTATATTGTGGAAAATGTCGAAATGGTGACCTGATGTCTGTGATCACCGTGCCCGTTGCGTCACCGGCTCGTCGCTAAGCTCGAGGCGTCAACGGGCAAACTTAAGACTTGCAGTCCAACTCGTGTTGATGGGGAGCGTGGCTGGTGACGCTCCCCCGCTTCAGCGGCAGCACCAGGTCGGGTGGATGCATTGCCGATGCAACTGAGGCGATATAAATGGGCAAAAGCCTAAGGAGGCATCCGCCTCCCCTAATTACATGTCGGCGCGCAACCCTTGCAGACGTGCTGCAGCGGATTTTTGTTTTGCGTGGATTGCTCTCAATGCAAAAACCCCGAAACGGCGAGTGAAAAACGGAGTGAAAAACGGAGTCCTCACCCCTGGTTTAAAAAAACGCCCGAAATTGACCTCGAAATCCGGAGCGAAATTCTCCAGGACCCTCCAGGCCCATCCGATCGCTTTCCACACGAGATCCGCTCTCCGATGTGAGCGCAGTGATACGTGCTGTGCCGGTTCGGGCGGCAGGGAAGGGGATCACAAAGGGGGGGCTGCAGCGAATCAGCTCACGTAGTTCGCCGGCTCTTCCAGCGCCTCCCGGCGCTGGGCGGTGCCAGCGCAGCGAGGAAGGGCGCTCGAGGGCGGGGCCGGAACCAGCTGCACGCGCTATGCTGCTCCCATCGTACTCAAGGACCACGTTTCAAAAATAATCTCGTGCACCCAGAGAAGTATCGAGACAGTGTCGAACGGGTATCGCCTCCCAGGGCCCGAAACGTGTAAACCTCCCCGTTTCGGTACTTCCTTGGAGCTCGAAATTCTTTCTGGTGATCAAGGCTACAGTAGGTTGGAACAGCATAATGAACACGGAAGATTATACAAAAGCCCCTCCCATTCCTCAGCCCCCCTGCCATCCGATCCGACTTGTAGGCCTGAGGGAAGCGGGTCCTGGCCTGTGCGAGTGACACCAAGCGATACCTGAATTACCACCACAAAAAATTCCCAACCCTTTGGGAGGGGACCCAAGTTAGGAGGGACAGGAAAAGCAAGGTTAGGAGGTATTTTCTTTCTGCCGGTGTATCAAACCAAACCGCCCAGAATTATGATCCTTAATGCGAAGACGGGGAACTCAGTGAGGCTATGTCTTCATCGTGTCATCGGGGTTAGGGGTTCAATTCTCCTCAATGAATGCCGACACCGCGACTCCGCGAACCCGTCCCAGAATGTGTCGATGTGACCAGAACCTCGAGACGACTCCAGCGGTGGCGACGAGGGCCTCTGTGGAGGCACAGACTCCCGACGGCATGATTTGTTCACGACGTCGACCCCCAGAAGCCTCGACCCATTCGTCTGGACTGGCTTTTCATCCTGAGTCGTTACTGACGGCCCCCAAACCCGGCAAGGGCCGCCAGAGGCAGAAACTTGCAAAGCAACCCCTGGCATGATCTACTCACGACCCGAGAATGTGTGGGGGTAGCGGTATCGGAATACCCTTTCTGGGAAACCATCAAGCACCCATACCGCCACTCCCCAGACCTCTCCCAGACCTCTCCCGGGGTGCGTTCTGACCAGGATTCCAAAGCGAATCCAGCGGTGGCGACGAGGGCCTCCCCTCCCAGGATGCCCACAAAGGCGGAACCGATGGGAGAGCAGCGGAGTCAGTACCTCTTCCTCCTCCGAGGCATGCCTCTTCCTTCTCTGACTTGTGCGCCGCGGGCTCAGGCGCGGAGAGGCCGCAGGAAGCCAGCGGGGTCGCCACCCCAGAGGCCTCCTAAATGGGCTAGGAGCAGATGGTGTCGGAGGATCGCGCCGCATCGCCGATACATCGGCAATGCACCGGCGATGCATCGTCGACGCGGGCGATGCATCGGCGACGTCGGCGTGAAGCAAATCGGCCTCCACATCGAGCCCCATCGGCGATGCATGCCCAGACCCCCGACGTCGTGATGTTGTTCACGACGCCGACCCCCAGAAATCTCGACCCCTTCTCCGGGACTGGTCTCATCATGAGTTGTTTTTTGACGGCCCCGAGGCCCGGAAAGGGCCCCGGGAGGCTGAGAATGGCGAAAAACCTATCGTCGCGATTATGTTCACAATACGCGACGGGGTCTGGGTTGGCGATGCGGAGCGACCCTCTGACCCGATCAAACTTTAGGTCGGGCATGTCCCCTTACAGGCGGATTTTGGACGGAAGATGAAACATAGTCTCGAGACATACAGAAATACTGAAGTCGAAAAATGGTCTCCACCATTTTTGTTGGGACTATTTGTGGATACTCCACATGTAGAGGGACATGCCCGACTTACATCCTAGACCCACCCCCGACGTTCTTTCATAACGTCGACCCCCAGAGGTTTCGACCTACTCTCCAGGACTGGATTCTCATCCCGAGTGGTTTCTTGACGGTCCCGAGGCTCGGGAAGGGCCCCCAGTGGCAGGAAATGGCGGAACATCTCCCGTCGTAATTTTTCATGGCTCCAGCACCATCTAGGGGTGTGGAGATCTCCCTTCCTTGCTCAACTCTCGCACGAACAAGGACCTTCCCACGAGCGGTCCACAAGGACCCACGAGGACCCACAAAGACCTTCCCACAAATCTCGCACCCACAAGGACCCACAGGGAAGGTCCTTCGGGGCCGCACCCAAGAGCGCACGTTTCCACTGTTCAGATCTCCAGGGGGTGTGGGATCTTCTTCGGCCACATGCGGGGATGGACAGAACCCCCTTTCGTACAGCGTGGTTCTGTGAAAACGCGACCTCGGGCCCACACCTGGCGGGCGCCAGTCTGGAACGTGACGGCCGCGGCGCCGTCTCGAGAACTGAAAGCGGACCATTCACTGGTCGACGTGTCAGAACGGGGGCTCTCTCCACCCCCCTTGAGCAGGGACCGACCGTCCCGGCATTCCTATAGTCCTATCACGAAATGTTCTCAGAACCCAATAATGTTCGAAGAGCAAAAACAATGCTCTTGGAACGTGGTCCCGATGTGTTAAAACAAGACAAACTCCGCCAGGAATGTTCGACGAACATTTCGTGGGAACCACACGAGGTTCGGGTCGGGCGAAAGGGGGGGATAGCAAAGGGGGGGTTTGAGAATCAGCTCACGTGGCTGATTTTCCCGGCGCCTCCCGGCGCCGGAGGCGGCTATGTATCGAGGAATGGGCCCCTCGGTGAGGCCGAAACCAGCTGCATGCAGCAGATTTCGTAACCCCCCCTTTCCCAATCCCCCCCTTTCGCCCGACCCGAGAGGTCTTTAGAACAGTGCTCGGTGGGGCGACAGGCGAGCCGGGACGCTCCGCCACTGCTGGCGTGTCCGGGCGGGGGCTCTGTCCGCCCCCGCCCAAGAGAGGCAGCCGAGATGCGAGCCGCCAGCGGCGAAGCGCGCCCCGCCGAGGAGGAGGAGGCGGAGGAGGCGGAGGAGGAGGAGGAGGAGGAGGAGGAGGAGGAGGAGGAGGAGGAGGAGGAGGAGGAGGGAAGATAGAGGAGGAGGAGGAAGACGAGGAGGAGGAGGAGGAGGAGGAGGAGGAGGAGGAGGCGGGGACCCGTCCGGGCAGCCCGCCCTCCTCCGGGGGGCCCTCCCCGCGGCCCGCTGCGCGGCGTCAGGCCGCCGGCGGGGCGAGGAAGGCGGGCGGGGGCAGCTTCTCGGGCAGGGGCGCGGACGTCAGCTCGGGCCTGGAGGCCCCGGAGGAGGAGGGAGGAGGAGGAGGAGGGAGGAGGGAGGAGGGAGGAGGAGGAGGAGGAGGAGGAGGAGGAGGAGGAGGAGGAGGAGGAAGAGAGGAGGAGAAGGAGGAGGAGGGGAAGGGAGGGCGGAGGGGAGGAGGAGGAGGAGGAGGAGGAGGAGGAGGAGGAGGAGGAGGAGGAGGAGAACGAGGAGGAGAACGAGGAGGAGAACGAGGAGGAGAACGAGGAGGAGAACGAGGAGGAGGAGGAGGAGGAGGAGGAGGAGCAGGAGGACCCCCTCGCGCCGGAAAGACAGCACGACTCGGGCGTGCGGCGTTGGGGAAACAGCACGACTCGGCGCAAAGGGGGGAAACATCACGGCCCGAATGTAGCCGGAGGGGGTGTAGAACAGGGGCCCTATATAGAGAGAGGGGCGCTTTACAGGGCCCCCTTTGGGAGCCAGCTGGCTCCGCAAGGGGCCCCCGAAAGGGGCCCCACTTGAGGGCCCTGCTCTTCACCCCCCACTCAGGCCCCCCCCCCGAAGATGCTACGTTCTGGGCTGCCGGAGATGCCTACTTTCTGGGCGAGACGTTCTCCGTGCTCAAAAAAACCATCGAGCAGGCACCCACAGCGAAGCCGCGCGTCGCATCGACAGCCCCCTTCTTGCCACCCGTGGGGAGGACCCAGCGGCCCCCAGGAGGGCGGCGCAGAGGCCCGCCCTCCGGTGGCGCGCAGGTGCGCCAGCGGCGGGGTCGCCGCTGGTTGACTTAGGTCGGGCATGTCCCCCTACGGAGGGATTTTGGACGACAGATAAAACATCCAACAATCATCGGAGACGCTCCAACATATTAAAAACCATCGTCCCCAGACTACTTGTTTTCTATTTTTTGCATAATCCTCCTGTAGAGGAACAGGCCCGACTGAAAGGTTGACATGACGCGAACCTACACCCTGCGAAATGCTTAAGAAATCATGGGTTAAGACATTCATAGTCTCAGAATTTGATTTAGAAACAAGAATTCCTATTGAAATCTTAGGGTTGATATTGAAACATCAAAGAACAATCGAGACTCTGGCAGAAAATTTTCTTAAACATCGCCTAGGGTGCACTGTACTCGCATGGATGCCGGGGGAAGGGGGGGGACGCGGTGAGGCCCGAAATGAAACATCTGGACTTCACGCAAGTCAGAACTGACCTGCACACCCACTCGGCCCAGCGCTGTTGGGACAGGCGGCGGAGGGGTGGGGGGAAGGCCATGCGAGCAAGTGCGCCCAAGGTCGGTACAGCTCGAGAGATGCCGCAGAAAGATTGAATCCAGGGCTCCCGTCCTGATTGTTTTGTCCGCGATGCTGAATGTTGCTGTCGCCACGTCGGATCTCGAGGGAGTGCACAGGCAGGGCAACAACCGTTCGGAGGGCGCGCCCAGGGGGAAGGCCGACGCGGCGGGCCTTCTCCAATACTCCGATGGCCTCTGGTCGTCTGGGAAAGGCGGTCCCCAGAGGCCGCGTCACAGGGAGTCGCGTGTCGGAAGGCCTGAGGGCTTAGGAGAAGCCCCGCCACCCTCTGAAAAGGCCTGCCCCCTCTCATTCCCCCCCTCGGCGCGCCGCCGACACAGTAGAGGTACTACCAAAAGAACGCTATGTAAGAAACGGGTCCCCCTGGTGGTCCCCAAGAGCACCTCGGTGCACGGGGAACGCCAGAACCTACAGAAGAACAACCATGGAAGGGCCTGAGAAGCAGCGAGCCCCTTCCGAACCAGAAGTGTTCTGCCTGTCAGCGTCTTGGCTACACCATGACAAGCCTCGACGGAGCACGACGCCACACGAACGGCGGGCGGCAACCCAACGGCAGGAGTCGGCGCGCGGGGAGGAGCGAATCTCAGCCCAGGGTCGGACATCACACGCATTCGCTGGGGAGCCTCCCCGAAGACAGGGAGCAAAATCGGCGCGCCCCCGGGCGGTTCGCCCCCGGGCCCCTTCGGGAAGGTGCAGTTGGGCGCCCCCGTGGCCGAGGCGGACGGTCTCGGACGGCCCCGTCCAGGCAGGCGTGGGGTGTGTGTGCTCGGAGCCCTTCAGGGCGCCAGAGACGGGGGTACAGCCAACGGGGGCACGGGGAACGCCGAGTTCCAGGTTTGGCTATGCCCCCGTTCGGGGGAATCTGGGCGCCGTGGACGGGGGTACAGTAAACGGGGGCACATAGAAAAGCCTTAGCTCCCGTTTAGCTAAACCACCGTTTACGAAGCACCGGGCCCTGTGCGCATCCTCATCAGCCGGGATCCTCTCAAAAACGGTCCCAGGACCCCTCCCGGTGTCCGTCCTGGCTGGCTCGCCATTCCAAATCAGTTTATGACGGCCCCGGGGTCCGAACCAGGCCCATGAATGCCGAAATCGCAAATGAGCTGGGTGAAGAACCCAACCCTTCCTCAAAACGATGATGCGACTATGAGCAGGACAGCTCAATGACTGAGAATACTGAAGGATGCCCGATGTACTCCTGAACGCTAAAGCGTCGAGCCACACTGAACATGTGAGGGGTGAGCCCAACTGAAGCGGGGCGCCGTGCAGGCGCAGCCACTGCGGCCTGAACGCGCGATGGGTATGTCGAAATGGGGCAGGGCACCTTGCGGGCGCAGCCGCTAGGGCCTCAGGCGGTGCTCCCGATGACGAAGTGCGCGAAGGCTGTGGCGACACGGGGCGCGGCGCAATGCAGGCGCAGCCGCTTGGGCCTTAGGCGGTGCTCCCGATAAAGAAGCGCGCGAAGGCTGTGGCGACACGGGGCGGGGCGCCATGTGGACGCAGACGCTGTGGTCTTAGGCGGCGCTCTCTACGTGCGATTGGTGTGCGGACATGGGTGGGCACGATGCGGACGCGGCCACTCGGGATTTCGGAGGAGCCCCCTATGGCGCCACGAAACGCGCGAGGGGTGAGGCGACCTGGGGCGGGGCGCCATGCGGACGCAAAAACTGGAAACTTAGGCGGTGCTCCCCACGGGGCGTGTGTAGAGTATGCCGACATTCGGCAGGGCGCCATGCGGGCGCAGCCACTGGAGCTTTTGGCGGTGCTCCCTGCGGGGCTGCGAAACGTGAGAGAGATGTCCAAGAGTGGGGCGGGGCGCCATGCGGGCGCAACATCTGAGGCCGTGGGCGGCACATCCTATCCGGGCAAGAAGCGTGTGAGGTGTAAGGCGGAGGTTGGGCCTGTGCAAGGTCATGTGTCGCCGCGCCGATTGTTCTCGATGCCCCCATATGGAAGACGCCAGCACCACGACACACCCACGGCAAACCCTGCGCCCGAGGCGGCGCTTGCCCCGCTGGCCGCAGCACCCGCCCCAGGACGGAAGGCCGCGCAGTAGAACACACGGCGCGCCGACATGTACTACTGTGGTTGGCCCGGGCCCGTCAATACCCGCATGAAATCCAAGTTCTGTACGCTGTGTAGTACGTGGAGCTGGTTCCGGGTGGAACCCTGGTCATCTTCGGACCTGGTCCCTCGGCCTCGTCCTGCCTGTAGGCAGGCCCACTCCCAGGCACGCGCTGCCAGACTGTGGTCTCTTGGCACTGCGCTGCCCCCCCCCCCCACACACAGCCCTGCGCCACCTTCCCTCTGGCGTGGCCCTGGCCCGAGGATCGCGCCTCTTGAATCCTGGGCGCCGCTCGCCACTGGAACCCACCAGATCCCCAGGCCCCAACCCAGAGATGGCGATCCAGGGGTGCCGATTGCCACATGGACTTCAAAACCCTAGAAACCATAAAAATAATAAAAACCCTAAAAAACCCTAAAAACCAAACAACCCTGAAGACCCTCAATTCCCCAAATTCCCAAAATTCCCCAAATTCCCCAGGGGCGCCGGCGCAAGCCCGAACGTGGCGACGCTTGCTTCCCAGGCGCCGCTCGCCGAGAGGACCCGACTCTTCTTGTTGAGCTGCCCATGACGCTGGCCCGTTGGCACAATAAGCACACGAGACCCCAAAACGACCCAACACCCCTCCTCGAGACGCGTGCCGACATGGGGCGGGTCACCATGGGTGTGCCGCCACTGGAGCCTTCGGTGGAGCTCGTTGCGGAGCCACGAAGAGCAGTGCGGAAAGTGGGCGGGTCACCGTGCGGGGCAGCCACTGGGGCCTTCGGTGGAGCTGAGCTCACTGCGGGGCCACGATAGGTGAGACAGGTGTGCCGAAATTAGGCGGGTCACCGTGCGGGGACAGCCACTGCGGCCGTAGGCGGTGCTCCGCAGGGGGGCCTGGAGCGTGCGAGGGGTGTGCGGACGTGAGGACGAGGCAGTATGCGGGCGCAGTCACTGTTGGTGGTTCTCCCTGCGGGGTCACGAAGCGTGCAACGGGAGTGCCGAAATGGAGCAGGGCACCACGCGGGCGCAGTCACTGGGGCACTCGGCGAAGCTCACCACGGGGCCACGAACGTGTAAGGGGTGTGCCGAAATTGGTGCAGCCACTGGGGAAATTAGGCGGTGCTCCTTACAGGATAACGTAACTAGTGGTGTGCCGAAATCAAGCAGGCCACCATGCGCGGGCAACCACTGGGGCCGTAGGCGGTGCTTCGCATGGGGGCCCGAAGCGTGAGAGGTGTGCCGACATTGGGCGGGGCACGATGCGGGCGCAGCCACTTTTGGCGGCCCTCCCTACGGGGTCACGAAGCGTGCAACGGGAGTGCCGAAATGGAGCGGGGCACCATGCGGGCGCAGTCACTGGGGCACTCGGCGAAGCTCACCACGGAGCCACGAAACGTGTGGGGTGTGCCGAAGAAGGGCTGGTAACCACGCGGGCGCAGCCACTTGGACATTAGGCGGTGTTCCCTACGGGGGTGTGAGGGGTGTGCCGAAATTGGACGGCTTACCATGCGGGTGCAGCCACTGGGGAATCAGGCGGTGCTCCTTACGGGATAACGAAGCTTGTGGTGTGCCGAAATCGGGCAGGCCATCATGCGCGGGCAGCCAGTGGGGCCGTAGGCGGTGCCCCGCATGGGGGCCCGAAGCGCGGGAGGTGTGCCGACATTGG